TTATATGTATCTATGTATAAGATAGATAGATAGATGATAGATGGATAGATAGATAGATAGATAGATAGATAGATAGATAGATAGATAGATAGATAGATAGCCATTTGGGGAAGGAAAAGTGGGCATGAGGGTGAGTGAAAATAGTCATCATATTGTCTATTTAACTTTTTTAAAAATTGGATTCCAGTTGGAAAAAAGTAATGAATTAAAGATTGCATCTTGGCACTAGTGTGATGAGGAAAAAAAAGTTAAAACTGTGTTACCTCAGATTCTTGATTGCTCCAGAGAAAACAGTGGGGAGGATTTATAACTAGTTTCCTGGTGGATATATAGGCACATCCAAGTGATTTAAAGGCACATACAAGTGTATCATCAAGTTTCCCTGTAGAGATAGTACTCCCTCATTGTAGTATCTGCAATGTAGGGTCAGCTGGAAAGTATCATTCCATGCACGCTAAAGTAATGTATTATGGAGGAATGCTGTCATTTTTCCATAAGGGTTTTAAAGTTTTTACTCTGTGAATTCTGGTATTAGGTACCTGAAAGAACCTTTCTTCAAACTTCTCTCCTTTGTGACCTAGAATCAACATGCAGCATGTTCCAGGAACAGATGCCTTGAGGTTTGTTTGTCAATATTTTACCAAGTTTCTATGGTATGAAGAACATTTTTGCATATTTGCAGTAAGAGTAAATAATCCCAGATAGATCCCGTCCCTATTTACTATTATGGTATTTGTTTGTTTGTTTATTCACATTTCAAAGAGGGACTCTGGACAATATACAATTAAACATCAAAATTTAAAAACAGCATAACTCTAACATTAAAATGTAAGAATTTTTTAAACAAAATTAAAGAGTTTTTAAAGTGGCAGAATCATTAAGTCCTGTTTACCTGCTTACACCTATCCAAGAATTTAAATGTCCCAGGTTAATGAGAACCCAGGAAGTTAACCCAGGAAGTCCATAGGAATGTGCAAGAACAACTGAAAGTGTTTGAGTTAGGGGGTAATCCAATTCATTTTTTGTTCTAGATTGTAATATAACTAACTGGAGAGGATGTCAGAATAGCCCACTGTTTCAGGATCTGTGAACCAATAAATCTTCAAAACCACATTTATAAAGAATGCATCTGACAGGATCAGCAACATTTCACTAATTTCTCAGGTGATTAGAAGGCCTGCAGGCCTATACCTTTTATCATCAGCAATAGTGTGAAGCTGTAACATAAGCCCTATTATTAAGTTGTCAAAAACAGAAATGATGAAAGAAGAGACTGGAGGTAAATCAACATTTTGAGTGTAATTAATATGTATTCTGATAAGCTGACAATTAAGCAGTGATTCTCACATGTAAAAACTCTTGACATAAAAACATTTAATTAAATAGCAAAGTCAGGATAACCATACACCTTAAAATTAAGCAGTTAATCTTCAAATGATTGCATATCTAATTTATATACATTATACTTACTGAGAGTAAGTTCTACTGAATATACTGGAGCTATATAAATCTTGTGTAGCTCTGTATAGGCAAGTATAACAATTTTTTGTTGCAAACCACAGGTTGTAGCTTAACCAACACAGAAATTCATGACTTGAACCACTCATTGAGCATATGTACAGTTCCACACAGAATTACAATCAAACTAAACACGATGAACTTTATGGTATATTTGTTATGGTTTATTTATTTATAGGCAGATCACTTCACTATTTACAGTACATGAATGTAGAGAGTCTACAGTCTTTGTGATGTAAACAATTAACTCCGCAATGGGGGAGTCTCAAAAAGAAGCCAGTTCTGAAGTATTTACATAATTTAAAATAGAACTTTTATATACTCACTAGATAGATATAGAGAATACATTGAGCAATTTGGTTAAATCATCTACGAAACTATAGAATCTGACAATGTAAAAATACAAGAAAACATTCTCTTATTTAGAAGGTTGACGTTGAAATCACACTAGAAAGAAATATTTATTTAAAAAATGACAATAACAAAAGAAAGGCATAAAATGTATGCCAATTAAGGTTAAAATATATTACATAAATAAGGACAAAACAGAATACGACTGGGGGGAAAATAAGTGAAATATTAAAATCTTCTACTCTTTTAAAACACCAAACTAAAAACTTGATTGTATAGATTACGAAGGAGTCAATTCTGCTGTCTTTACTTACCCAGAAGTAAGTTACCACTCAGTTAATATTTGTAAAAACATGGCAGAATTGGGCCCTTCTAATTATTAGCAGTGTTCTCCAGAAAAGAAAAGAAAAGGAAAAAAAACCAACCCTCAGTAAAATCTTTATTTTATAATTTTTATTATAAATAACATATAGCAAATGTGCCCCTCTTTTAGGTGAAATTCTTACACCTTTCTCTAAAAAATGCATCAATTTAGCCTCCTTCACACGCTCTGCCTCACATCCACACATAAACACACATGGCAAAGAGGGGCATGAATTCATCTTTGTGTGAAATAATGCTTCCTAAAGCACCAACTCCTGTACTAAAATCAGTCTTTCCAGTGGTTTGTCTTGTAATTGGCATCATACACATGAGGAAATGGAAAAAAGAAAAAAAAAAGACTATTATAAGAAATCTGCTTTTCAGTGGTGCTGTGACCCTCCTCAAAATACAGCACCTTTCTGAACTGGTCAGGGTGCATTTTGATGCACACAAGGTTCTGTGCAGATGGAGAGGTCTATTTTTTTTCCAAAGCTGCCAAATGATTTGAGAAGCCTGCAGCAATGGCAACGCAACCGAAAATTGGGTCAGCTCCTATTCCTGTACAGCTCTCTGCACACAATGGTTCATAGGCTGACTTGATGCATCATTCTCTTCGACAAATGAACCTAGGATTGATGCAGATAATGTGGGCGTGCTTTCAGGATTACCTGGGCTGAATCTTAAGAGTGACAAGGTGATGCCTTTAATAATAGAGATTTACATAAGTGAGATTTAAATATTACACCCGGGACATTTAAAACCTGGCCTAATATTAAGAGACTCTTCCCAAAACTAACTTTATTGGTTTCCGTATACAGGCGGTCCTCAATTTATGACCATAATTGAGCCCAAAATTTATGTTATTAAGTGAGACAGTTAAGTGAGTTTTGCCCCATTTTACAATCTTTCTTGCCACAGTTGTTAGATGAATTACTGCATTTGTTAAGTTACTAACACAGTTATTAAGGGAATCTGGCATCCCCATTCACTTTGCTTGTCAGAAGGTTGATGATTGCATGACCCAGGACACTGCAACTATCATAAATACAAGTCGGTTGCCAAGCACCTGAATTTTGTTCATATGACCATGAGGTTGCTGCAATGGTCATAAGGTTGAAAAATGGTCATAAGTCGCTTTCTCCAGTACCATTGTAATTTCAAACGATCATTAAATGAATTATTAAGGACTACCTCTATAAGCATAATAGGGAAGTTCAATTCATCATGTGAACTCCCACACAGGCTTTGACAATCTAAGCCATTTTGCTCAACATATGCCCTAAAACATCTTTATATATATTACATTCTTATAGCATTTGTCTTAGAATAAATTAGTAATACCCTTTTGCAGCTGCTCACTGTTAGGCTGTGTTAGAACACTGTTATGTTCTTCGGCTAATCAGAAATACAATGCAGAATGCATAATAAGCCCCTAGTTGTTTTTGATAAGGAGGGTGAACACCTTCTTCAGAACAAAGAGGTTCTTGAAATCATACACAAAAATATGGGAAGGGGCGTTCCCCAATGCTATATGGGTATCGGTGATATACTGTAGGGATTTATTTTTTAAAAAAAGTCAAATTGCACAAATGAGAAAAGAAATAGCTCTTTCCAAAAAGTTCAGAAAACATGGAAATGAAAATGGGGATTGGTATGCTTACATTGGTAAAGAATATCACACATGGACTATCTTGTAAAAAATAAACCAAGGAAATGCTAAACTGCTTCCTATTTTCATATAGTAAATTAATGCCATATTAAACACAGCCATGCACACACTCATACCGACTCCTGTATGGCTTTTTGAATGGGCTACTGAGAAAACTGAGTGTTCACCACAAAAACAAAGAGAAAGCCGATATCAGTTTTATGGAGGTAGAATAGGTCAGAGGGAAAACAAGACAACTGTTCGAATAACTGGCAGTGAAAATAAGATACAGAATCCAGTTCTTGTGCAGTCTCTTTACAACACTGTTGTCTTACTTCTGCCAAAGTTTTCAGTTGACTTATCAATATTGACTTGTGTTTCACATAAAGCAATCGTTATTAAAGGATCAAGAGAAAATAAATGGCTTGTGACTTATTCCTATCCTTAAGGTATTTCTCCTGATTTTCCAAAATTAAAAAATTAAAAAAAATCTATAAAAAAAATCAGGAGGGATTTTTCTCTCTCTTTCTCTCTTTCATACACACAAACATACACACACCTACAAACATATATAGTTTTGTTTAAAAAAATAAATGTCTCCCTCATGATTGCCTTTCTTAATACACCCTTTTGTTCCGAAAAACCCTGGACAATTGATTCTTCTTTATTTGGTTTCTCATGTGTTCTCACAAGATCTTGATTTCTTCTGTTGCTCATCGTTATGGCTAGGCCTGCCCCATGAACATGGGGGTGTTGGCATTATGCATATAATTAACACAAGGACGGAAGAAAGTTAGGCAAACTTTGCAGAAAGGACCCCAGCAGCAAACTCTTTATGAAAGGGGCAAAGAACATGATGCCTTCAGAAATGAATCCCCTAAGCTGAGAGGCAGCATACAGTCATTTTTAGCCTTGGAGAATCAAAATGTGCTGGATATAACTGCCCTTAGGAGGAATCTGCCAGAACATATTAGCAGCAAGGATGGCTGGAACAAGATAGAAAGCTCATCTTAATTCCTCGTCCTAAGGAAAACAAATAGTTCTCTTACTGCATGAAAAAAGGCTCATGTTATATTGCAGATTTGTTGACCCACCATCACAGACTATCAGTTGCCTATCCAAGCCTATGGGATCTTACACTCCTAGACAAGGAGCAAAATCAAGAGACAGGATGACAGTCTGAGTTTGGTTTAGTGGGTCACAAGTCTATTATTCAGTACTCTGGTATTCAGAGACAGATACAGCTGGGTATTTTATACATTTGAACTTATCATTTCCTTTGTCATATGGAACTTGCCTTTTCTTCAATAGTCTTTCATAATTACTCTTTACAATATTTATGTAGCACTGTAGCTGAGTGCTCTACATACATACCAAAAGTTTAATGCATTGTACTTATTTATTCATACAAACTTTAGTATATCTCTCTGCTTTAAAAGATTTGGGATGGCATTTGTTCTTCCTGTACTCTCATCCAGGAGTTTGCCTAAAATTCTTCTTACAACACACTACAACTTCCCAAGTCACGGTAAGAATAAATATGAACAAAGGATTTTCACACATTGCTCCCTGTGTGGGTGATGCAAACTAGCTGTGCTTCCAATAGCAATTAGCATAAGCTGCGGGTATTGATATGCTGTAACCAGGACAAATGTGCGTGCTTTGCAAACCCTCCCACTCAGGTTCTACATTCAACACTGCTGAACTTGCAGATGCTGAAGGGCTCAATGCCCATTGTCTTTCTCTCATTCATGTGTGCGTTTGTGCACATACGTGCATATTGCATAAAGTCCTAGTGAAGTTTCTCGCACAAAAAATATATTTTTATAGGCTTCAGGCAAAACAAAGATCACTTATTGCACCTCTCCCCACAGCTAGGATCGAGAGGCTATGTGCATTACAGGATCTTCCTTCCTTTCAAAGAGCATGTCTTGCATGCCCAAATATCACTGGCAAGTCCAGCTTCTGAAAATTAACTTGAGTTATAAAAGCAGGTAAGCCACGTTTGCAAGCAAGTTTGGGCTAGAAGCAGCACCTTCCAAATAGCAGAAGGACTGTTTTAACTCTTTCTTTCCAGCTGCATTCAACACTTTCAACACGCTTAAAATTTGATGCATTTTCCATCTCTCTGACCAACCGTAGTTCTGAACTTTTTGATCTCTTTTGTAACCGAGCCAGGAGATGGAAGAATTCCACTTACTAGTTGCTGGGGTGGTTATTATTATTTCTTGTTGTTGTTTGATTGTTCTCTGAAAACATCAGTACAGCACAGGACAGGACAGTCCTACCCACCCTAAATGTGTTACTATGTACATTCTACAGTAAGCTCTATAGCAATCACATGTAAACATCATTGTGGTAAGGAAATACTAGGACAGAAAAGGCAAAGCTACAATGAGGCACTTGTCAATAGCAGATACTTCAACTTAGCCAGACTTTGTTCTGGACTGATCACAAGAAGATCTAATGGCCTTGTAATCCTTTAATAAGTTCCTAAACAGAGATGTTAAAAGTGACATTGTTAGCCAAAACTCATTGCGACAGTGAATTTTGCAAGTAGCATGGAAATTATATTAGCTGCCATATGAAATCAGGATTATTATGAAAGCTCCAGATCACCATCCGCATCCTGGAAATAAACTTTAAGGGTGGGATGAGAAATTCCTTGATCTTATGGTGCTTTTGATATGTACAGTCCTTATTAAGACAATGGGGGACTAGTCAGACAAACAGACTTTGGGACAGCAAGAATTAGGGCAGGATCAGGATGTTTTTGTCCTTTGATTCTAAATCAAATACATGCTGATGCTAAAGAGACCTTAAGGGAAGAGAATCTAACTACCGACAGAATTAAGGCTGTTGTATTTTATCTACATGGGATGGTTGAACCCCATCGGTCTCATCTTTGTGAAGAACAGAATAAGGATATGGTGACTGATGGAGGACTTAGCAATGCTATTTGGTCCCCACTCGAAAGTGCTCTCTTGATGTTCCTATTGCTTATTTAGTGTCTCCCTAGCCTTTGTTGGGTGTGAATTAGCACAAGAGCAGCCGCATTGCATCTGGCAAATGATGCATTTGGTATAGAGTACTGTATGAGCATGAGGTCTCCACGTGTATTTATCCCCATCCGATGGCTTCTTTCTCCAGAAACCATTTGTTTAAATCAGCCTAAGTTACACACAGCTGATTCCCTTCTCCTGGACATCTCTGGGTTTTGAATTTAGGAAAAGCTGATCAATAAGTAGAGTTCTAAGCCATGGGCAAATCAAAAGAAAGGAATATGCAGACAGACATATAGAATGATAATAAAAAAGAATGCAGTTACTGGCTATATATTATACAGTATGGCTTATTCAAATTTGCTCAGGCAGAGAGCAGTATTTAAAGGGGGACAGAGATACTCTGCTGATGCTGAGGGCTGGGTCAAGGTGCAAGGATGCTTTTGACCATTTTTCTGTTAGGACTTGCAAACAAACCCAGGTTATCCATCAGGCAAGAGATTTTGCTTTGGTTGAATGACCAGATGGCCAGAAATCTGTTCCTCTTCCTGAGGCTACTGGGGATATGACTTAAATAAACTGTTCTACATTTGTGACTTTATGGTGATGTCATGAAACAATGGTGGAGTCTAATGCTTAGGAGCCTTAACTTTTCTGGCTCACTTTCCAATCTTCTTTGTCCCACAAGAGATTTCACATGTAGAATAAACAGGCCAATGGCTGCTAGTTATAATGGCTGTTATATACTTCTCAACTCAGGAGCAATGGGCATTAGATTACCACTTGTAGTAGATTAACTGCTTTCTTGGGCAGCTTGTGAGTTTCTGAGAAGCACCTGGTGGCTCCATGGAAACAGGATGCTGATCAGATAGGACTTTTGCAGGGCTTTTCTCATGCCTCATTTACTTGGCTGGGGGGACAGGTTATCACTTCAGCATGAAGGAAGAGGGGGAAACGTACCCTGTCACCTTCTCATTTCTCACTAATCTTTTTGCCATCTGAGGAAAATACTTGGAGTCTGCTTTGGACTGCAGAATCACAGTTTTCATGTCTCATGCAGTCAATGATTAAGGAGTGGAGATCCCAGCATTCAGTCCAGACAAATGGAAATAATGGTTTATACGGCAATTCCACACTGCCATTCAATAACACCCCCCTTGCTAATCAAGGACAAGCAGATTTTTTTTAATGCTTTTCAGATGAGCCACTCACTGAAGAGAACCATTCTGGAAAGGCTGCATCTGCTGAGGGGCAAGTGCCTCATTACAGTGCATAGTTAAAAATCAAGGAAGCGGTACAATAAATCTGAATTACAGTACATCTGAGCCATAAATACATTATAAGTATATATTTCTTTCTTCTATTAAAAATTAGTTTACAATCTTGATTCTATTCACAATTAACAATTTCATAATCACACACTACAGACCAAAAATGAAATAAAAGTTATGGTGAACACAGCTGCCACTCCACGGCGGAAATGGGACCAGTCAGAGAAAGGGGATTGGACAAGAAGAGGACAGAAGGCTTTTGCAGGCTCATCCTAACACAACCAATCAGAAGCAGAGATACTAACTTGTGGCAGTGGAACATTAACACCATGGGAACTCACAGACAGAAGCAGCTTGTTCAATGTAAACATCAATTTAAAGGGTCAGCAGTCTCTCTCTCTCTCTCATTATATATTTAATCATTTCTTGAAAACGTAAACATATTGGAAGTGCCTTGACTGAGGTATTAAGGTATTCCTCAAAGGTTAAGGCTGTTACCGATGCAGACTTTCCTGGGCCTCCTGCAGCAGGCTGTCAAAATCCATGGTCTCATATTTGCTTTTTACTGGAGTTGGAGAGGACTCTTCTGTATTGGAATCTGCTACAGAGAAAAGATAAATGCTGTCAAAAATAGGAAGGAGTGAAAGGAAGAAAGGAAGGACTTCTTCTATGGTCCCAAGATAATCAGCTAAGTCGTGTATATTACATCTAATATTCCCAAGCCACATGGAAAACCTCCAAATCTTCATTTCCTCTTAAAATGGAAGGAGTTAATGATCATGAGTAGCCTGTTGAGATATCCCCCGTGCTCTTCTCTGAAGAGGCTGAACAACAAATATGATGGGTCACAAACCATTTGGCTGAAGGAACCAAACTATCTCTCAAGCGAAAGGGTTGGCCACAATCTGTCTGGAAGCTGTTAAGAACTGCCTACATTGGATAATTCATTCTCCCTAATCAGATTACTATTTTGGGTGACCGCATAATATTTGATTTCATAACTCTGTGCTATTTTTCATGGTTACGGTTGATTAATTTAAATTTTCTTCAATTACAATAGTTGCTGTCTGCCCCCTTTCAGGGGAGGAGGGCTTTAATTAAAATGAAGGAAAATAAATTAAAATCACTTGTGGTCTGTGAAAATGAGCAAATATAAAAATCCTTGGAATGTTTAATCTGCTTTCTTTGATTTTAATAAAGTATGGGCCACAAACCCTGCTATTATTGTTTGCAAACACTGACTCATGGCTTAATGTGTTGCATATATCTTATTAATTCTGGTTAATTCAGTATCTGTAGTTAAATAATCAGTGGATTAGTATGATTAGTATATGTGAGTGATTCCAGATAACGGTTCTGATTCAGTCACCTCTGATGGAGAAAAAAAGCCCTTCACTATCTCTGATTGTATAAAGAAAGCACAATGCTAATAAATAGAAATAAATGTATCAGATAGTAAATAAATATTAAATACCGATAATAAGATAAGTAAATGAGGATTGTTGGAATTGTATAGATTTTATACTTTGGATTTTTTAGTGTCCACCATCATTAATATCCATATTAGGACCATCATGTGTGAGTTGGATGACCATATAATTTTGTTTGATAATAAAGAAAGAAAGAAAGGGATGTTTGCTGGGGAATACTGGGAATTGAAGTCACACAGCTTGAAGTTGCCAAGGTTTTAGAAACCCTGCAATATACTGTCTGAATCAGATTCAGTACAATCACCCTTTCCAAATTAGATCTGTTATGATGAAACAGGCCAAGATGATTGTTGACTTACCCAAATCAGTAAATCTGGTCCAAAAGAAGTGTCCAAAGCCGCCATAAGCCAGTTGGAACAATGGCTCATTTCTTTTCCACAGAGAAGCACCATTCTTCAAGGACAAGGCAGCATGCTCAGAACACCGGTATGTGATGACACCATATTTATCTCCCCTGGATAATGAAAGAGGGAATGTCAGCATAGCCAACAGAGCAGCATTATTTATTTGTCATTATTTTTGTTCTGTGTCTCTCCAACAGGAGCTCAGAGCATCTCGTTTAAATCTCATGCAAACTTTATAGGAATTAGGATCCAAGAGTCTATTAATCAAACTGCAGTGATTACATTGGCATCTCCCAGCTGCCTTGGAAGAGAACACTCCAGCCAGGCTATTTATTATTTTTATTTCCACTTACACACCACTCAGGATAGTTAACAGCCATTAAACTACAAAACATCGACCTTCCCCTGCACAATAGAACATACATTGCTATATTGCCTATTTATATAAACACAAATCTGCAATAGACAAGAGATGCTGAATAAAAATAATTTACCCACTTAAAAAAATTATGTATGTATGTATGTATGTATGTATGTATGTATGTATGTATGTATGTATGTATGTACAGTATACAGGCAGTCCTTGAGTATGACCATAATTCAGTCCAAAATTTCTGTTGCTAAGCGAGACCATTGTTAGTTTTGCCCCATTTTATGACTTTTCTTGCCCTAGTTGTTGGGCGAACTACTGCAGTTGTTCTGTTAGTAACATGGTTGTTAACGGAATCTGGCTTCCCTATTCTTTGCTCGAAAGGAGGACACAAAAGGTGATCATGTGACCCCGGGACACTGCAACTAAACAGCCAAATTTTGATCATGTGATCATGGGGATGCTGCAACGGTTGTGAGTGTGGAAAAATGTCATAGGTCATTTTTTCCAGTGCCATTGTAAGTTCAAACAGTCACTAAATGAACTATTGTAAATCGAGGACTAACTATATGTGTGTACATACACACACACAATGGATATCTTTTAACTTGAATGCTCTGTTTTTCATTTGAAACAGATAGAGTTTTGAGCTCAAAACTTTCAAGCTTCGATTGAACTACCAAATTCAATCTGCTTCTGTATATAGCACAATTTAATTCCATACACATATGCTAAGTAGTAATAATCCATTGTAAACTTAAAGAAGTGCTGCATCTTCTATGCCAGTGGTGTCAAATTTGCATCATCACAGTGGCGTCACATGACATATTGTGACTTTTCTCCCCTTCACTAACCCGGGTGTGGATGTGGCACATCCAGCCTGTGGCCCGGGAGTTTGACACCTCTGTCCTATGCAATACAACAGAGTTAGACCTTACACAATTAAATGATGAGGGAATTTAATGGCAGTTTCTTAGCCAAAACAAAAATGATACAGCTGAGGAAAGAATGAATTTTACACTGCAATCCTTACACATATTTAACCAGCAAAAGGTTACTTCTTAATAGGTACACTAGTTCAATTAATACTTAACCTTTGTGTTTACATGGTCCTCAGGGGAGATGTTTTTACAAACAAGAATTATCTAGCTATGAACTTTGGATTCCGGTTTTAATTTTAAGTATAGAGTAAGATAGCTAATTTACAAATACTCATGATTTCAGCCAGGGTGAATAATGAGATAAGGAAAACTCACCTTTTATTCTTGGTCAAAATGCAACACTCAACAATCTCTCCAAACACTTCAAATTGCTTCTTCAGTTCACTAGAGCTCATACTGCTGGCAAGATTTTGGATGTATACTACACGGCCTTCTCCCTGTTTAATAGCAACAGCACTTAGACTTATATATTGCTTCATAGTGCTTTACACCCCGCTCTAACTGGTTTACAGAATCAGCATATTGCCCCTAACAATCTGGGTCCTCATTTTACCAATCCCATAAGGACGGAAAGCTGAGTCAACCTTGAGTTGGTCAGGATCAAACTGCTGGCAGTTGGCAGAATTAGTCTGCAATAATGCATTCTAACCACTATGCCACCACAGCTCTCCACGGCTCTTAATTACATGAGGAAATTGCTCATGCTTGTCCTAGTACAATGTTTTAAACTGATAAATTCTTAATATCTCCAGGTCCATTTTACTATTAAAGTAGTACCCTTTGGTATTTTAGACAGGAGCCGAAACTCCTTTGTTCCATTTGGTTTTGAACTCACATTAGTCAGAAAATTATTATTTTTTATTATCAATCCAAGTTTTCAAAGAACCTGATTTGTGAAAAGAATGGATGGAAAATCTAAGACAGATGAACTGTATATTAGAAAATGTAGTTTTTTAATCACAGGAGTAGTTTAGAAGGATTTAATTCAGAAGTAATTTTTTGTTGTTGATTTTTTTTAAAGTTTGCCAAGCCTGTCACAGTAACAGATGACTGATGGAAGTTTCTGGCCTTTGGAACAATCTACTAAATTATATTATTGGCTTAAAAACGCTGGTCACTTTTTTTTCTTGGAAGCTTTAAATTGTTCTATAAAGTGATCTAAAAACCTAAAACTAAATCTGACATACAATTTCTTTTAAAGGAAAGAAAAAAAGAGTTTTGCAGAGCAAGGAGACCAGGTTTGGTGAATGAGCAGGAAATCATACCACAGCAAATCTCTGAAGCATTTCTGATTTTCCACGCAGCCTCAAGATGAGGCATCCCATTCACCAGAAGAACTGAAAAGATTCATATGCTGCATGGGTATCTTTCATTTATGGATGTCAAACCACTCATATAAGAACCATGTCCTAACATTTTAAATTATATGAAGGGTGCCCGAATAGGAAGACTAATATGTTCAAGAGGACATGAAGCAGATAACTTCTTTAACCAGTTGACTAAGTATTTCGATAAAAGGTGGTTTTCTCAGCTAAACATCTTTAAAGTTCCCAACAGGAGAAAGATGAGCTCTAAATATGCTAATTGCATCTGTGTCTGGCTCATTAAAAGATATGCAGAATATCAAATCACCAGCCTCAAATGCAGCTTTCTTTTCTACTTAAGCCACTGTATATCTCCTCTTATTTGTATGATTTTTAAACATGATACCATATCTTTTTCAAGATTCCAAACACTATTATACTGTGGAAGTGTATGCTGATGAACGATAGTTCTCCCTATGCCAAGACTATCTAAAAGAAACATATTGGAAGGGAATAAAATGAAGAAACTGGCAACAGATTGAGTTCTTGGCAGAGGAAGAATTATCACTCATCAGCATGCACTTCCATTTCCACAGAGTAATAGTTTGGAAAGCCAGCTAACTTCCTGTATTAGCCCTTCTTGAATAGAAATTCCTGCCTCCCAAAATTCAAATGTGTTTCAGAAAGAGGAATCATCTGATCAGATTGGAAACCCTACCACTTCCACTTCATTCATCCCAAATCTTATTGAGAGTTCATACGTCACTCACAATGGCTTTTTCTCTCTTTTTCTCCATCAGTCTCTGGCTGCTCATGTTTCCCTCTTGACCACGCTTGCCATTTTCACGTCTACAGGAAAACAAGAAATACAGACCCAAATGGATTCCAATTGTTTTAAATCGTAGAAATCAGAATCTTAATCAGGAAAATATTCCTAGAAACATACTCCTTGCTTGCCGGAACAGCCTCACCCATTTTACAATCAATACAGAACACCATGGGCTATTGCAGATTCACAAATATTTAGAGGATTTTTTTTTTAAAGGTGGCCAGATAGCTACCAAATATTGAAGCAAAGAGGTAAGCAAATGTAAATGATTAAATATTATATAATTAGAAAATCTGAAGATATAATCTTTTTAGGGCACAGTCATACTGTGGTTTTGGCCTTAAATCTTTTTACAAATAATCTTACATTTATTTCTATCCATCTAAACAGGGTATCTCTTTTTTTGGTGCAGTTCTAATAGGTCCGGCAATCCTCTGGAGTAGATTCTCAAGGTCTGGAGGAGGAACTAATTCCGTAATAATAATTCCTCCCAGTTTTCTACTTTGCTCACAGGATTTTTGAATTCATCCCACTGTCTTTTAAATTAGCCTTATAAGACGTAGCCCCCCCCCCACTGCAATGCCAAATCAAGAATAAGGAAAAATTACCCTGCCTGAGAAATTTCTAGAAATTTAGTCTTATATTCCCCCAGACTGACTGAAGGGGCAACCATTCATACAGCACTGCATTATTTTAAAATGTAACTAAAGTCCATGAAATTTTAATCTGCAATACTCTGAATCATTGCAATCAACAATGCAAACCAATGTAATTGATAGTCAATTTCAAACCCTTCGCGCAAAACAATACTAATTGCAAATGAATGTACCTGAAAACCTGCTGGTTGACTGGAGACCTACTTCTGCAACACGAAGACTCTGAATCAGATCTGTTTCGGGAGCAATAGTGCAAATTGGTCCTAGAAAGAGCACTACTGTGTAGACATCTGTTGGAACCCAATGGACTCATGTAGTATTCCTCCTCCTCTTCCTCTTCTTCCTCTTCCAATGGAGAACCAATCTCACTGCAGCTGTCTTCAAAGACAGTATCATATTCAGGAGTTTTGAAGAACAAGGCCTCCTCCCCATCATCCAGGGCACTGTCCAAAAGACCAAAGTGTTTGGTCAAACTGGCTCTGATTTCTTGGTCCCTCAGCTGTTTGCTGCCCTCCTTCACTGAGCTTTTATCAAAACTCTTGTTGCTTTCCTCCTGATAGGGAACGTCAGGCACTTGCCTCTTGTGTTGGCTTTCTATATGGCTCAGGGGCTCCCAAGACCTTAGCACCTTCCTCTGGAGCGAATACTCAGGTTTCAAGACTTGGCAATAATCATGATCACCAAAAGACCGTGAGAAAGGGCGTTTCAACACCCCATGTTGCTCAGAGTGAGCAGGGCGAATAGCAGACCGACTCAGGTGGGCATACAGCTCTGTCCGCACTGGTTGCTTTTTCTGATGCTTTCTGGAAATTGGCCTATGACTGATCATGGGTTGTGGCTCAGAGCTGGTGATGACAGCAGTCTTCTGTGCTGGTCTCTGGTGAATGTCTGGCTTATATAGGTCCTCTTCCGAAGGCTTGTATGGAGGAGTAGTTGGTGGTGTGAGACCTTATCTCCCCCAAGGAAGCAAAAGGATAAAACTCTTTCAGTATAAGACCATGAGAGTAAAAAGACATCACTATAATAGGAGTTAGTTGTAGGTCTATTTTTTTAAACATTCCCACCCCTTCGTTGAGCCTTCAAATCGCACAGTTGACCTGGGGATATGCCCTGCTGTTTATATTCAGTCTTTTGCCTTTGTAAGATGGCTACAGTGGTTCCAAAATACTTGTCACTCAAAAGATGTGCTGCTCTGCAGTTGTCTTTTCAAGGAAGGGAAAAATCTAACAGGGTTTAGGGGTGCCTAGATTCCATTTCCTTCATGTTAATGATTAAATACAGGAATTACTATCTTATAATCTGGTTTTGGGTACAATCTTTTCTCTATGGTTATATCTTTTAAAATAATGAACACTTAATCCAAATTCTGCCCTTACCTGCAGTGCCACATAGCTCTACAGTCAGAACTTGATCAAAGCTGCGCTTCCCGAGTGTTGATTCTCTAAAAATAAGAAGAATAGAATGAAATAGTTATAGAAAAGTCAAGACATCCATTAAAAATGAGGAATTCACACAATAAAATAGAAAGGAGCTTTGAAAATAAAATGTCACATAGGGAGGACATCTCATGGCTGTCATTTAAATGGCAAACTTTTTTTAAGGAGGGTAGATAAATGGACACCTGCCTTGTAGTAGCTAATGAACTGGGGTCATCTCCAAATAACTACATATGTAGGAAAGTTGACAAGCTTGAAAGGGACTAATTTTAACTTCCATTTAAACTACCAAAAGGTCTCAAATAATCAATATAAATTAATAAAATCCAACCTGAAAACTTATACATTGTCTGTTCAGGTCCCCTTTACATTTTTACACATGGAAGCCCACACTTCCATTGCAAGGATTCAGAAGTAAACAAACTTTAAAAGTTAGGGGCACTTTTGAAATTTTGTGAGCACGTGGCTGGTATAGTCACAGAATGGTTGCCAGAAGACTCTTACTTATTCACAAATGACAAAAAAACCTTCTACTGATCTCCAAGCAAACAAACCCCAAAGGCATTCCTGCAAATAAATATTTGCACCATAACAGAGATCCTATAACTAATGTAGCACAGTTTTTTCACAGCTAATGTAATCCTCATGAAGAACTAGAAGAAAGCAAGTTATACTGTACTTTCAGGTTCATTCTAGTTAACATCTAGTCTCCACAATAAAGCCTTTTGGCACACCAACGGACAAGTTTCTGAAAGCAGAGATTTTCTGCATAAAGAAAACTGCCTCACTATGAAGCCATCCTATATAATTTAAATTCTTCATTGTTTGGTCTTCATCTATCCAAACATCTCATTCTTCCTTAGCTTTGGTTACTGAAATATACATGAATACAGTTTTGTATAAACATTGACATGTCACTGTCAGGTTAATCTCTATCTGTCCATGAATTTCCTCCCTTAAAATCTCCCTAACATAGGAACCGTCTAGCAATGATGGAACCTTATAATAATATGCAACCTGTGGTGAACATCCTAAGTTTGATGTGGCTTTAATCATGGAGTAAGTGATGTGTGTGTGTGTGTGTGTGTGCGTGCGTGTGTGTGTGTATGAGTTGCACATCCCTTTCTATAAAATCTTTAGCTGCACTATGAAGTTCTTACCCAGTAGTGGATTATTTTGACATTAAGCTCCTGCACCAGAAGTCCTCTTAGTGCACAAGCAGCTTAATTTAAGGATAGTTATCAACCAGACAGTATTGAACACACAGCTTGGTTATCAGGATTGCAAAATTCTGAGACTGCCATTTGCCAGATTTTTCTGGCTTCTGACACTTAGAGAGATCATCCTTTCACAAGATATATTTCGGGTATTGCACTTACGTTTGTGCCAAGGGCAATGACAGACACCGTGGTGCTTCTGAAACAAAGAACAGAGAAAAGCAGAGTGATTCAACTGGCCATATCTCTGTCCATAAACTGGATTAGTAAGAGAGAAAGCAGATTATGGTCAAATGAGGTGAGCCATGGAAGATACGTGGTTTATCTTCTATTTTGTAAACTTGAAACCAGACCAGAGTAGATGAATTGTATTGGAGATGAAGGAGAGGAGATTAATTCTTCTTTCATGCAGTTTTTCATATTGAAATGATCCACCACACCACACTGAATTTTATTGTCTGGTTGCCATTCTATGATTAATAGAGAGGAGAGGAGCTTTGGGAAACATCATATGGAAAAGAATAAATCATCTCTCTCAATGCTGAAATAGTAATCTGATTCAGTTTTCCCCGTGTCTGTCCTTAATTTAGCAACAGACATAGGAAGAATATTTTTCCTACCCTATATGACTGAGTCCTGAGTGGATGAATTATGACACAATTGGAACACAACAGTTCAGAAGCTTCATGTTTCTCCCTCAATGTGTGACTCACATGAAGCATACTGGGCTTCTATAATCTATTTCTTGTCAGACCTGGGTCAATTCAATTAAAACCAAACCTTTTCTTTGCTGCAACTTTTTCAATATACAGTTTTATAGGAAATTATCTATGTATCTTGTTTAGGGAAAGAAATTTCTCTTCAACAGTATTTAAGATATTCAGACAAACTAGGACAGTGTTTCTCAACCTTGGCTACTTGAAGATGTCTGGACTTCAACTCCCAGAATTCCCCAGCCAGCGAAGTCCAGACATCTTCAAGTAGCCAAGGTTGAGAAACACTGAACTAGGAAGATATGGGACCATATCACACCAGGCACAATCCTTTTCTCTTCCAGAAATGTGGAAATGCAGGAGAATGACTGAGCTCTCCTTTTCTACATACCTGTTTGATGGCAGGGGGTGAAGCACTGACTCTCATTTGCTGCATAAGTGTCATTTTCCCTGGAACTTTCTGGTGAAGGGGTCTGCAATTCCATTGGGAAACTCTGGAATCCCCCGTCCATCTCATCAGCGCCGCTCACTTCTACTTCCGCTGCTGGTGCTTCTGTATCAAAGTTTTGCAAAGATGAGCAGAGGGCAGGCTCTATTGAAGCGAATGCGTTTCCTGTGGCCGCTGAGGATACGGTAGGTTCTGAGGGAGGTTTATCAAGGAAAGACTGCCAAACACTGAGCTCAGGGTTGAGTCTTTTAGAGCGACGCACTGCATAAATAGAGGTGTCCGTCTTGCGGTTTGACTTCCCGTAGGATCCCTGACCCATGTGGATCCCTTGTTTTGCACCATCCTCTTCTGCATTTCCTTTTTCAGCCTCAGGCTCTACTTTGAGACTCTGTCTCAGCTCAGTTTTCATTTCGGGTATTATTTTGTTGGTGGGCTTATTGTATCCATCTGTAGATTCCCTGCCGGTATTGTGAGGTGAAGTTCTTGAAGACTTGTGAAGCTGTGACCTGGCCAAGGAGGCGTAGACAGGTTTTGCAAATCGATATGGCTTACTCACATCACATGGGAGTTCTCTGGCAAGCAGTTCTTTCAGGATGGAAAATTCAGAAAGGGGAGTTCGGGATTGTTTGCAGTGCATGGAGAAATGCCAAGGGCTGGATGGGCAATTGTCATTCCCACAGAGTGGAGACTGCTGCAGGGGGGGATCTGACTTTGCTCTTTTGGAGGGGCTATGAAAAGGCTGGTATTTCCCCTCACCGGGGTGAATGGGGGGCATCTTTCTTGGAGGAAGGCAATAAGTATGCATGTAGTGGATAAGCTCCACTGTAGCATGAAGTTCCTTGTCTCCAGTGCCTTTCTCGGAGGAAGAGAGAGGAGGCGCTACACTGTTACTGCAATTCGATGCATCTTTACTTAAATTGCTATCTTCTTCGTTTTGGATGTAATGTCTCTGGGGTACAGAGCAAGTGGTAATGTTGTCGGCATGACACATGTCTAGTGGCCCACTGTTTTTTCTGTGCGGGCAGTGTCTAGTGGTGGTGGTCGTAGTAAGATGTTTATGAAGCTCAGTGCAGTTCCGACTCTGAGCCTGGGGAAAAGTTGTCTTTCTGTCATGGACACTTTCCACCTTCAAAAGCAAAGAAAAAAGGAAATTAAGCTACATCCAAAATTTATCCATTTCTTTGTTCTAGGTGGTTAAGCATATTACAGCAAAGATCATTCGAATCCTTACATATTTCACATCACTAAAATAGCTGTTTCAAGACTTAATTATATCATACTTAATTGAAATACTTAATTTAACTCTATTTAATTGCTGACAAACCAGTAAGATAACATTGTGTGAGGGTTATTTTACCAACCATCCATATCAAATGCCATAGATTCATATTAGGTAATAAAACAATGGAAGAATCATTCTCAGTGCCATTTCTCTATGACTTGAATGACAGAAGGGTCTGGCTTTAATTCAAAAACAAGTAATTTAACAGACAGAATCATTATGCTCTATTCTATTTCCAGAGAATTTGCAGAATCTGATTTTCTGGTGGCTGCTTATTATTTCTCTAAATTTGGCTTCTATTCCCACCGAGATGTTATGTTTTATATAATATTGTGCAAATTATTGTGCAAATGACTTTGGTTTATGCTTGAAATAACAATAACAAATTTTCACCATCTTGGTCAGGGAGGTCTTCATAATAAAAAGAGGAATATTGATTTCTGATCCATAAAACAAGTGTCAAAGAGGAACAGAGGGAAATTGCAGCTTGCACAAGCAAATAACGTGTAAACGTATTACAGAGTTGCCCCTCTAGTTCCCTCTTTATTTTTTGTTGACTAAGTTGTTAGCTAGAAGGATCAGGAACCTATTCAATTTTCCACTTGGTGCAGAGTTTGTCTCCTAGTTCATTTCAGACCCCCACCCCCACCCCCAACTACTTTGGTTTTTTTCTACATAAATTTGTTAAGTGACTGGCAAAAAGTTCATGTATTTCTTCTGTTTGGTTGTATGGCCTGTAGTATACACCTATGGTAATGTCATTCTTTTTTTTCTTATATATTAACCCATATGCATTCTAGGAGGCTTTCATCCTTGATTTTATGCATTTCTGTAGGGAAGTACTGATCTCTCATAAATAATGCAATACCACCTCCTCTTTTGTTAGGTCTATTTCTTTTGAGCAGTTTATATCCTTCCAACACCACATTCTAGTCTTGAATTTCATCCCACCAAGTTTCAGTAATGGCAACTATATCTGCCCTTTTGTACTAGTACTTGAATTTCACCCTATATACAGTACCTATATTAGCTATATAACCTGCATCAAACCTATATAACCATCATATTAGAACCAACAAATGTAATTGATAGCTCCAGAGATTTAATCATATAAGCTGTTTTTGCCTAGACTCTATAAGCACAGTGGAAAATTATCTTGTTTCTTAACTGCACTTAATTGTGTAAGAGTTGTATTTTATTGGGCATGTTGTTTTATTCAAATACACCTATAACAACCATTGCTCTAATCAACTCAATGTGTTTGGCCTGGCTGGAATTTTCAAATGATTTCTACTGAAGCTTTGGCATTCTATTCTGTTTGAAGTCATTTATTAAGCACCAGATATATAGAGAGATTTGATTTCACATCCATAAATATGGGTTTAAAGGACTAATATAGAAAGAAAGACATAATAGAAGGCCCTTAAGAATTGCTTTTGCATCTATATGTTGTTTCTTTTGTTACTGGGTATAACAGCCTTCCTTTCTTTGCACATTTGTGTGTTATAGTGTTTTGAACCTGTTAGTTATATTTGAAAAGTATAGTTTTTATAAGCATTTATGCACAGTATGGGCTGGACTTTCATTCTGATCCCTAAGGTGATTCCCCCCCTCCCCCTGAATCAGAGAAGAGATTAGGTCATTATCCATCCTTCGCTGCAGGAATCTGTTATCTTTCATCACAGGCTTAGTTCCATAGCATTTTACATCACAGGTTGGCTTCTTTTCATTTTTCTCTTTGCCTTTTGATACTGGGCACAGCTGATAAAGTGCCAAGCCATGGGAGTTCTTTCCCTTTCACCGTTTTCATTGCACAAGTTCCAATCCTGCAATTTGGATGGCATAAGTGGCTGCGTAAAATGGAGGGGAGTAGAATCACAGTTGTGATGTGGGAAGAGTCTTGCCGAAGGGGAAAAGTTCCTTTACTTTCATTTCTAGAAAATTAAAGCAGTGAAAGATGTGTGCATAAATATACTGCCTGAAAGGTGGATCAGCAGGGGTGCGATAGCATTGCTAGGGGACTTTGGGTTTGTCTGAGACTATGGTTAAAAATAAAAGGCAACGTGCCCAGCATCAACCTTTGCATTTAACAGCACATGCACACGTGTGTGTATGTGTGTGCACATGTGTGTGTAAGCAAGTATCTCACGTTGCCCAGACATAATGGCAATGGTAAGAAACAAATCATTTAGCTGTGATGCATAATTCAGTAGTTGCAGCTCAGCTTCATATATACATACCAATTTCAGCAGCTACAAAGATATAAGCTAGAGGGAGAATCACATTAACCCAGCAAATAACCCCTGTACCATGAGTGCTAATTTCCAGTCTGTGAAATTCCATATACTTTTGGTAATTCTAGCCACTCTTTTGAGTTTATTTTAATTGAAACGATCAATAAAAATGAAAGCAACTCAAAAGAATATCAAGAAAAAGTCAGAAATATATGTAATCTTAACAAGAAGTACACTTAAACATCCATATTCAATATTTTTGCTCATAAAAGAGGTATTTGTATAGATGAATGTAATCTATGCAAAAAAACCCAGCTTAATATACCTAAGACATTGAGACTGGATTAGAGTGGGAGTATCCTTAATTATAGGATTCTTTCAAGCTCTTTTTCTATACTACTATGTCAGCCAATTTTCTATACTTTAACAAAATAATAAGAAAATAAAAAGAAACATTATCTTTGGGGGTGAGGGAAACAGATTGTATTATTTCTTGAACTGCATTGTGTTGTAAGTCTTTGGAAATATGGACAAACCAGTATCAGGATTAATGCTTTAATGCTTTTCCAGATTTCCTCAAAGACCTTTGATCATCTGTGCACAATACAGGAGAGATAGAAATTTACTTTGAACAAGCCCTTATCTTTGTTTCTTATCTATCTATCTACTCGCCTATATCAGGAAACAGAAAATCCTGAACAATATAAGCTGTTAAGATACATTAAACTGATTCAGAAATCAAGAGTAGAGCCCAGAAGATTCTCAAAAAGAGCTAGCAGGAAAAACAAGAGGAAAAATATTATTTTTAAAAAGCTTCTTTTAAAGATTTCAGAAGTATGGTAAGGCATAGATTGCAGAGATTCTTCAGTCAATTTTCTGTCCATGTGACATATATAATAAACATGACATTAAGCACAGAAAGCTTAATATCTATCCCCATTCCAAACTTCATTACGCTCTGTCTCCCCATGTTCCTTATCTTTCCCTATGCAATCCAAATTCATTTATTTAATACACTGCACAATTTCCTTCATCCAAGTGAAAAAACTTTTAAAGGCTTATTGTGTGATTTTAAACAATTGGCTTTAACAACTGGATGATTCCATCAGTTTGTACATTGTATTCATAATAAATAACAAATCCGTTATATGCAGAAGGATCCAAGTTCTATATTTTTGGCATGGCTTATCCAAAGTCTGCCTTTCTAATGCCTTACTCTTCAGGTGGATCAAACAGAAGGAGATGTACTATCTTGCAGAATAACATTCCCAGCACCATTCTTAAAAGATTTTGAAAGAAATAAGCAAATGGTTGCTGTGATGGTTTGCCTGTGAGAAGAAACATAGGGGAAGGAGAGCTATAAATACAGAGAGAACAACTACTCAACCTTCATAGGAGCTCTGAGTGGCAGAAGTAAAGAGGCAATAAAGAGGAAAAACTTACTACATCACCTGGAGAGTCACTGCCAATAAGCGCAATTAATGCTAAGCTAGTGATCTGAACATATGAAAACTGTGTAATATTCCTGGCAAAAATTTCATCTCACATAAACATAGTCCACTGTTATGTAAAGCTGTAGTTGCCAAGAAGAACAATACCTTTGCACACGATCGCTGAGGTCTGGATTTAGAAGGTCCTTGACGGCATATATTCCCCTCTCTTTGAACCTCATAGCTTGGAGGCACATTGGATGGTGAGAGAAGCAACTTCTTTAGCTAGAAAGGGAAATGGTGAAAGAAAGAGTCGAAATTCCTACATAAATGAACAGTAGTCATTTCTTTTTAAGTTCCTTAAATTCCCATACTTAAACACAATCATAGGATAAGTGAAGTAGAGATCCAAAACCTAAAAACCACAGTGTTAATTGTTTTATTTTAACAGCCTATCTCCCCCCACCACAGAATTATTTTATCATTATTCATACAGACCCTCCCTTTCTTCATACATTAGGAAGAATATAAAAATCAAAATATCAAAATCAAATATCAAAATCATGCTCATGGCTGTCAAGGAAAGATAAGAGGATAGAAGAGGCATGGTAGCTGAGTTACTATGTTTAGGAGATATCTTTCATTAGTAAAGAGCATCTTATTTCTTCCATATAATTCTCAAAGATTTGGAATGGTTCCATGGATATTCCCCATTATAGAAAGTGACAGAGAATAAAGAAGTCCCCTTCCCCTGAACATGAGTAGAATTTCATCATTTTCTTTAACAATGCCCCCCCCCAAAAAAGATAAAGAATCTCATGAATCAAGCTCATGAGGAAGATGCATCACAGGAGGACTGAAGACCAGCAATAACTTGGCAAAGCCAAGCTTTAAAAAAAAAAATCCTGAATTTATTGCTGCAGTTAGTCTGACTTGTCACCCCATGAAAATAATAAAGAAATAGTAACTCCGATACATTATGGTATCCCAAATTCTTAGGAAGAACTCGGTGCATATGGAGACTGAAACCAGCTAAAAAACCTGGCAACAGTGATTTCACATTTTTGTGTATATACTGTAATAATAATTTAAAAGCACAGCAAGATTTCATTAATGGGTGGAAGAAATAAAATTTGTTTCGCATAATTGGATAAAGGTAGGAATTATATATTATCTCAATAAGCCCTGAAAAAATGTTGATAATTTAAACATTCTGCAACTTTTTGGAAATAGCTTAACTGCCAAAATTGAAAATTACTCTTTATAACAGGATGGGGGAAATGTAACTCTTTTATGACTTGTGGACTTCAACTCCCAGATTTGTCATGTCATAAAAGGACCATAGTCCCCCACACCTGCTTTACAAGAAAGGCAGATTCTCCTAGTACTTTGAAAGTTACTAAAAGTCATGATTTCAAAACACTCTGCAAGTCCTTTCCAAAAAAGCTTCCAAAATCTTTTGGAAGTTCTTTCCAAAACAACAACATAGGATGGGTATGCTATGGATTAGCCATAGTGGTTAGGGTAGGATTATATTTCAATAGTGACCTCATGGTACCTTAAAATACTAGCTAGGTTAAGCTAATTACAAGTATGTAGCATATTATTTTCTTCAGTCTAGAGACAAAGAAGTAGAAATTGAGGTTGAAAAATGAATATTTTTCAGTATAAAAATTTCAAATTTGTGTGTGTGTGTGTGTGTCAGTCTAGAGACAAAGAAGTAGAAATTGAGGTTGAAAAATGAATATTTTTCAGTATAAAAATTTCAAATTTGTGATTCCATTTTTAAGTTGCAAAGAGAGAAAAAAAGCACGTTCAATAGCAGTTTGTGAAAAGGTGCTGTTCCCACATTCAGAGAGACCAGGTTTAAAAAGGCTGCTGGTAGGTTTCCAGACATGGCTGGCAGTATTAAATTGGTTTCTGAAAATTTGGAATATTCTCTTTCCCATTTATCCTAATTTGTGATTTATTTTCAGATACTAATTTTAGTATGAATCAGGAAGTAGGCATAAGCTCCTGCCAAAGAAATCAATTGGATGTAACATTCTAACAAGGGTTTCAATTAATTAATTCAACAGCTCACGAAGCAATCTGAAGAAGCATTTTCTTTCTTAGTTTTAGGTGGGTTTAATGATGTCTGTAAAACAGATATATTCCAAATCCGAGTAAAATCTGAGTAAAATGTTATTTTTAAATAATTGATAATATTTCTTTTCTGATTAAATGCCCAGAATATGTCTGTTTTAAAAAAATAGAAATTCACATTTCCCACTCTCTCACTGAAGGCAAAATGGGAATATTAACCAACCATTGACTCTGGTGGGAATATGGCAGCAAAAACAACTTTTTAAGGATTGTCCAGAAACTCAAAACTCTCAACAATTAAGCAAATTACAACTATTCAATTAGTTCCCATAACCAAAATTTTTAAAGTTTTTTTTTAATACAATGTCGTGCAATACTAATTTGATCCTCTAGTTGTAAACTTTTTACAATGACAAAATATTAAAGTTATTTCCTCAATTTAGCAATGTATACATCACGTGTGTGTATGTGTGTGTGTGTATATATATGTATGTATGTATATATACATACATACATACACACACAAAGATTTGTACTATGTGTCTCTGTGTGTGTTCGTGTGTGTGAGTGAGTGAGTGAGTGATATGTAGAGACATACACAGGCAGATGTAGACGTTTGTGACATGAAAATGTGTACTTCTTACCACTAGATGCCACTATAACACTTTTAGAAATCATGACATTCAATAATGGTAGATAACAGGGAAGTAGTATGGATGGACAAGAGGCAAGAATCTACACAGCTATGTTTCTGGTATCCTGTGCAAAGGTTCTGCTTGAAATGAAGAATGCTCCTGTCGTGTAAAAGCATATTTTGGGAAAGGACATTATGGAGCATTGAAGTTTCAGAGTTCCATAATGATCTTTCCTTGTTAAGTGAAACCTGGATTATAAACAGCAGTATTTTCTATTATCAGAGAGGCTGTAATCCATAATATTATTTTCTTTGCTCTCACCTGCTGGTTGGTTAATAATACCATGTACTGAGGAATAGAAACCACAGAAAATCAACTGCAGATAATTCTGCTAACTCAAGGGAGGACTAGAGTGTGTGCCTCAAATAAGAACTCAAAATTTCTCACAAAGGTCAGTTTTTCTTGGGGAAACAAGTTCCTTTACAGGACCAAATTTCAAGACCCTTGGAAATGATGATATGTGAGCTAAAGAGTTAAGCTCAATTTCTAATGACTACATAGACAACCATGCAACAGCAGTGTAATATCTTGTATTTCCCAGTGATATTTGATGATCTCTCATCCAAGTACTAATTAGCTCAATTTTTATCTCATTTGGTTTCCAAGACCAGCTAAGATTGGCCAGAGGCAACTATCAGCTGAGACTATGAAATCTCAGAACAATTTATTAAATTACTGTAATAGAACAGGTGGTTTTAGAGAAAATGCTGCATAGCAGCTTGCCCTATATCATGACTACTCATGCAAAAAAAGTCACAATTTACAAAATCATGTACATCTCCTTAACAGACATGAAAGTGTAACATAAAGAAAAATGTAAGAGATGAGACAAAACGTTGAACAGTGGGCATCCCTAGTGATAGTATTTGAAATGAATATAGGTGGCCCTTGACTTACAATCACAATTGGGACCAGATTTCCAGTTATAAGTTAAGGTACCCATGTGACAAGACACAATTTTACAACATTTTATGTGGCGGTCATTAAGCAAATCACTGCAGTCGTTAAGTGAATCAACAGTCATTCATGCCATGACCGTAAGTGCAAACCCATTTTTCTGAAAGGGCTTGCAAATTGTAAATTTGCAAATTGTGGCAAATTAGGGGACAGTGCAACCGCTTGTAAGGGCAATCCGGTTGTCAAGCAGCCAAAATGGAGGTCATGTGATATGAAGTGTAGGGTGTGTGACACATTTTATGATGGACAGAAGTGTTTTGTGGGGTGTAAAGCATGTGTTCTGCACCAGTGGTGATTTCAAATGGTTAAGCAACCAGTCGTTAAATGGAGGACCAGATGTATTATGATGTGCTTATGTGCTTTCATGCACTAGCCCGCTCTATGTCTTTTTCTTTTTCTATCCTAATCATATTCTTCCCGATGTAGATTTCTACGGAGCAGATCAAATGAGAGCAACAATGTGGAACATGTATACGTATACAATAATAGATACAACGCTTTTGTACTGTTATAACTGTAAGCCTATAATGAAAAAATTCAGACCTTTGCTTCCTATCATACCCATGCAGCCGGATTATCAGAGGCGCATCCAAATCCACCTTAAACAGTAGGAAGTGGTTCTTACTAGAGACAGCTCATCAACCTCTTGGGCCACAGGAGGCCCCCTCGTGACTGGTGCAGCAGGATTGGGAGAGGGGATGGGTGAGGTGTAGCCGCTGTTGGGCATGTCCCCCTCGTCCATATTTTTGAAGACAGCCAGACCCATGTCTTCTTCCTGAATGTCATCCAGTGTCTCAGTGAGAGCTGCCAGCAAAGCTTCATTCTCACTGTCGATAATCTGCTGGAAAGAGTCAGAAGGACATAGGAGAAAAACAGAAATTAAGAAGAGATGTTTCCCAAACACAGTGTTTCTGACAAGATACAAACACACTTGTAATCGTATTCTAGTTATTTACACAACAGAGTAGCCAGATGCCTTTATATTCTTTTAAAAGCAGGCAGAGAAACTGATAATACCATGGTATATTTATATTCAATACATGCCTAACGTTAAACATACAGCAAATAGAAAGTTTGATCATACGGCTCTAAAGTTTTCTTTGGCCTTTAGTCCAATAAAAAAACAAACAAACAAAAAAAAATGATTGAAATGCTGACAAACGTAGCATATCAACAACCATTACTATAATTCAGGAGAGTTCTATTTACAGTGTTGTATAGTCATTCTTATAGCCAAACCCTTCCTTGCCCCATTCACAATTCTTGATATTTTAATTCATACCCAAAACTGGGGATAGAGCCAAGAAGAATATATACATCTTTGATAGACAGTGATTGATCACACAATGTATTTACAATCCCACTGACACTAGCCCAAAATATAACAATAACAGGAAACGCCAAATCATAGATTTAATGGAATAACACCTGTAGAAACAGGGTTCCTAGTATTGTCAGGATTTGACAGAGTCAACCATAACTCAGTTTGAATTAAAAGAGGAGCTGTGTTGAAGTTTCTTATTCCAGATAGCTACCACAATTCTTGGGATTCAGAACACAAAATATATGACGTATAGGCACAAGTGTGATGTATTCCAGTTTATTAAACCCCAGATAAGATCCCAAAGTCATGCATTAATGAGAGAACATTAGGAGTAAAAATTTATGGTCCATCTATAAAACATTAAATGTTATCATTTTTGAAAATATTAAAAAAACTTATGCTGTCCTAAGCAATTTAATTAGCATTAAATCTCATCAAACACAATGGACATTTCCTAATTAAAATTTCTTAAGATTAGATTAATATCTTTTTGATATAAAATAAAACATTACCCTTCAATTAATTGATGGCATCTCAATCTGCTACTATTTCTCCTCATTTATATTAAAATATTACAAATTGTAATAGAGTAGAATAGTAATGTAATGTAATATAATGGAAGGGAAGGGAAGGGAAGGGAAGAGAAGAGAAGAGAAGATGTAAGGGTCCTCCAGTCTTCTAGCCTTTGTAGCTAGATAGTACTGAAATGTGGTAATATTTTTCACTTCTGGGAAAATCTTTCATATAGCAATAAAATTGGAAACTGCTAAAGTACTCATTTTAAATCAATGCACAAAATCCAGTCAAAGTCAGGCACTTTAACTCCAACTTTCAATGGGAAAATTAAGAAAGTATTCAAATACAACTGAAGTAATGTGACACATGAATGCAGCACTAGGCAGCAACTTCCACGTATCTCCACCAGAAATTACTTAGAATTCATGCAGGTCAAGAAAAGGACTGGTAAATCTGAATTTCCAATCAAGATGAGCTCAGGATACTAGGATTGCCATAGCTGGGCTTTTAAAATCTGAACAATCCATGGAAGATAATGAATTAGAATTTTCCCTGCATCTTTGTTGCTGCATAGTGGCTATCCAAATATAATAGCTGTATAAGATGTATCTGATCAGGACCTGGTAGATCTTAGAAAAAATGAAGTTACTCAAAGCAATTAAAAATTCTGGAGCTCTTTAATTATATTATGGAGTTTTATTGAACTGGAAGTTAGTAAGCAATACTGCATCTAACCTCATATGACATGATTCCTTATGACATGATTCCCTTGTCAGGTTGCAATACCTAGCTAACATTTCAATGCTTAATGAAATGGTTCTCAACCTGTGGTCCATGGGCCTCTGGGGGAATCCATAAAGGCTTGAAGAAATGTTATGATTTGAAGTATTGAGTTAAGTATTGGGGATCCATGGTGTTGGGGTATGGCCACAAAGAGAATTTAAAGAGAGTTCAAGTACAATACACTCCACCCTTGCATGTAATGCCTATACTACCTTTAAAGCTATAGCTGTGCTCACATGACGCCCTGAGATCTAGCCAATTACATTTTAACTTAGCCTGGGGTAAAAACTCCAGACTGTTTGATGTTTAAAATTCAGTGTGTTGTACAAACATGAAAATGGGTTAACAGAGTCAACTGTGATTAAATTCACTATGTGTGAATCATGCTTAGATAGTAAGTTTGTTTAAAAACACAACAAATAACAATATTATACCAAATATAAGCAAATACTCAAATCAGATCCAGACCCAGATTTACCACGAGAAATGCACTTGCTTTAGCCAACTTCTATACCCTATTCAGCCTCTGCTGTTATCTCATTCATTATCAAATCAAACAAATTAATCTATAATTTTGGACAAATTGCAGAGCCCTTTTTCCTGCATTTTCAGATGAAGCTGCAGAAGGGGAAAGAATGAACAATTCTACACTAACCTTTGTTCTGATCCTGATTTGGACATAGTTGATAATCACATGTTCAAGTTATATGTGGTTGACCCTCAGCCTACCAGGCTAGTAATGGAAAGAATGCTCTAGAGACATAACACATTAAGTGTTGAAACCTGAATGCTGGAAGCACTGATATAGAACACACTGACACTGACACAGACACAGACACGTATCTCCACCAGAAATTACTTAGAATTCATGCAGGTCAAGAAAAGGACTGGTAACACACACACACACACACACACACACACACACACACAAACGGGAAAAGCTTAGCTGTCTAAAACATTAGATACCCTAGTCTAATCCAGTTAGAGCTAATTCAAATACATGGCATAGTGTTTCCCACTGTTATTAATTCAAATTTATATGCAAGGTAGTTGCATTTACTGTACAACCTTCTTGCTGATAAGTACATTTATTTATTTACTATAGGCTGATATAGGATTGTTTTCAACAAACTATATACTGTATATATAGCATACTTTTACAATAATACTGTAGATATTGTACAATCACTTGTGGGTCTTTCTCAAGCCCAAACATATGAACTGTTTTTCAGATATTTAAAAATGTAGTTTGTATTTAAAGAAATAGAAAGTCTTCAGTGACTCTAAGCATATCTTTGGGCTATCTGCAGCCATTAATTACTCCATAATAGTGAAGTCATTAAGGCCACCCCTCCCCCAAGTCATGTTACACAATACAGCACCAAGAATGCAGTATTATTTGAGAAGATATTTTCCTTCTAATATTAGCAAAATACCTCTTTATATAGGACATCAACAGGATACTTTTCATGGTGTTCTATGCATTCAGTCTGTATGAAACACAAAGGCTTGCTCTGTTTATATTTTCCTGGGTGGAAAATACATATCCTGCAATGATGGTCTGTCAGTCATTCTGGAGTTTTTAGAACAACAACATAAAGCGGCAAAGTGAAGGCACTATGTCTCTGAAAGTTCTTAATGAATGAGCAGTTATAGTACAACTAGCCAGGCAGGTCCTGAAATCTAAGGTGATATTTATATTAAAAGAAGGAACAGAAAAGAACTAAAGACATGTTGATATGTATCCATTAATACACCTCACCTTTTGAACTAGGACAAAGTCCTTTATGCAAGCAATCAAATGTTTTTTCTGCCATTTTCTTTATGCCGTATAAAAGCAGTATGTACATTAAATAACTCTTTTACAGTATGCAACACAACTTGCCCAAACGTAAGCACTTCCCCCACACTCTTTAATTTAACATGCCTCTTTTCAGTTACTTCTAGGAGGCTCTATCCTAGGAAGTGAAAATACCCCCATCCCTGTAAAAATTGTTACAGGGGAATCAGCGTATAAATAGATTCTTTTATTGTAGGAAATAAATAGCAATAATATTAGCTTTACACACATCCTGCTAAGTCCGTTTGCAACATCCTGCTAGGTTAGGCTCTTATTAAGTCAAACCAAGGATGGATTGAGTGGGATTCTGAACAAAGCAAGATAAGCTAAGATTGTATGTTGTAAGGGTAAGTAACCACCTTTCCTGTCAGCATAAAGCAGGAAAACCTATCTGGAAGATTCTGGTGGGGCGAGACAAAGCTTCTGCCCATGGTTAGACATGTTCTGGTAATTGGCAAGGTCTGGGGACTTGAAACTGTGGCATGCACTCTGAATATTAATGAGTGAATCATCTTTTCATGAGCAGCACCCATGTATTTGCACTATTGTGTTAATATGCCAATTTAAGATTCTTTTTCTTTGCTCCTATCCAGACCAGCTTTGTTGCACTTGTCCAGAGCAAGACTGTTGTTCTTGCCATTGGTATCTATGTTGTGGGACTGTGGGTGGTTCATTCATTTCTCCACAACTTTCAGCCATTTCAGGAAATTAAAATTGCAAGCCCTTGTTTGCTCATACAGTTAAGCTTCTGCAGCAGATCAGTTAGAGGTTGCTTGGATAAGCTTCATTGCAGCTGGTCAGGCCTCCTACTGTAATTACACTCAGCAGTAACCAGAAGGGCTCCAATTACCACATTTCTATGCTGTTTTATTTAATGCATTTTAGAATTGCTATTCCCTGAAAAGGGCTGATTAAAACTCTCTCTTGAACCTCCATTAAAAAAAAATACAAAAAAAACCCCTCTCTAGATGCTATAGTAGAATCCAGGAACGGCTCTTACAACAGCAGCAGAAGTATCTCCTCCTCACTCCCCCCCTCCCCAAAAAGACTGAGCTGACGGGTGTCAGTAATGTTCTCATTGCTATTTGTAAAAATTGATGATGTACCTGGAAAAGAAAGAAACAGCCTTTCCAGGTTGTTACTGAGCAAAAATTACTGTGCTGTATGATTAACCCTTTGCAGGCTAAAAATATGGTGAAGTAGCAAAGGGGAATCAGGAATTCTGCTTTTATTTTATTCTCTGGCTTAGCTTTCACATGGAGAAATAGGCATCACTTCTATCATGGCCAGTATGGCACCAGGGAGAGCTGGCAAGAGGGTAAAACCACATATCACTTGCATGGAACTAGTGAATGCCTAACAGAAGCCTGGCTCAAGGGAAACAGTTTGGCAATGAGTTTGACTACAGCTTTAATATACTGTTTCCATAGAACACTTAACTTTGCCAGCCCCAAATCCAGTCAGTAGATCATAAAATTATACTAACTGATAACCCTATTTGGGGAACATAAAGACCCATCAATTCTCATCAGAAAATGCCCAGCGTTTCCAAAGTTTTTACATCGGGAGAGTACTGGCAAGGCTTCATTCCATCACTAAAATTCTTCCCCAATGGCCTGTCAGGCAATCATAGACATGGCATGATTTGGCCACTGCACTCACTCGGTTTAGCAGGAAATATGTTCCCTATTCCCAGGTCTTTGAATTATGTTTGGTAATGGAGAGATTTCCTTTTAATTCCAACACTTTTCCTTAGGGGAGTAGATAGCCTTATAAATTGGTTTAATAAATAAATAGTTGGTTTGATTGTGTTGTTGCTGCCATGGGGTGAGGATTTTAGTGTTATGAGTCACCCGGAGTCACCTCTGTGTGAGTTGGGAAACCATATAAACTTGTATACTAAATATTCAACCTCTTTATTATGTTTACTAAGTTGAATGACACATTTTGATGTTCTCTCAACACATTAAACTATATAGGATTTATCCACAGGAAAACTGAAGGTAGGAGGAGCAAATGAAAAGTAATGCCTCCAAAG